CCTTCTGCTTTGAAAAAGCTATCCAGCGGGCTTATGCAAACGACCTCGTGTCTGTCTGTCTGTCTGTCTGTCTGTCTGTCTGTCTGTTCCACTAGAAGGAGGTGTGCTAGAGAGTTGAAATTTTCAGGGTATCTTATGGTCCACTCCTAGAGAACGAAACGCCTACGGCAAATCCTGTCAGCCACCCCTAAGGGGCTGAAAGGGGGTATCGAAGAGAACAGGAAAGGCCAAAAAAGTTGGAAAAAATATTTTTTTTTATGATTTCCTAAGGGGTAACTTGTGAAAGTAAAGCCCTATGGGCGAAAATTTCGTCCGTTTTGCTCTATCTCTCACCGTTTGGGCGCTAGAGTGAGTTTCTCTCACAAAAGTGGCCCAAAAATTAATTTATTAATTTTCGAAAATATTGGATGGTCTCCTAAGGGGTAACTCGTCAAAGTAGAGCCCTATGGGCGAAAATTTCGTCCGTTTTGCGCTATTTCTAACCGTTTACGCGCTGGAGGGTCTTTTTAGTCGAAAATAAGCTAAAAATTGCCATAGTGAACAAGAAGATGTAGAAAAGGGCCTAAAAACCGCAAAATAGAAAGGAAACTTTCCCCCACTCCCAAAAGACGTTTTCTAAGCAGAAGGGTGGGTTGTAGTCGCGGTGCTTCACCGTTACATCCCTTTCTCAAGTCTTTGGGGCAAATAACTCAAAGATGACGGGTTTAAGCGGGCCGAAGGCCCGCAACACCATTCGATCATGTTCTTCAGCAAATCGCGTGACAGAAATGGTCGGGCCGCAGGCCCGACCATCGCCGCCGGCAGGCCAAGCAGGCCCGGCCCCTGCCGAACGGAGTTGCCGGCGGAGCGAAGCGGAGCTGGCAACTTCGTTTGGCGGAAGGGCGGGCCTGCTTGTTTTAAAGCGCCCAGCCCAGCAGCACCCCCTACATCTCACCCCCCGCTCACCTTGGCACCACCATTTACTGTCTTATTCCCCTGCTTAATTGAAGGTAATTCCCCTCATTACGTTCAACTCGAGACGCCGTGTTTCCCGGCAGGGGCTCCGGCCGGCTGACCGCCACACTCCGTTCTACTTATGTTTTCCCACCGGTCTCTTTGCTACCCCAACTCTCTTTTCTTTTCTGCACTTTGCGGTGTGTTAAAGAGAGAAAGGGGGGTGGGCAGGGAGTCGCTCCCCGCAAACAGCCACGTCACTCACGTGAAGGTGTTTTTCCTTATCATTCCTAGACTGTCTTGTGGTGATTATCTCCAATACTCCGTCGGAGCCCCGTCGGGCGTCTGGGCTGGGGCCCTCCCTGTGCGCCTGCGTATCGACGGATAGGCAATGCAGTGTACACCCGAGTCGGGCACGTGGCCTACCTGCACAGGGGCTCTAGGGCTCTGTCGTTGGTCTTTAGAGTGTCTCCTCTCTCTCTCTCTCTCTCTCTCTCTCTCTCTCTCTCTCTCTCTCTCTCTCTCTCTCCTCTCATCTCACCTCTGCTGCTCTGCTTCGCGTTCTCTCGTTGAAACGCTCCCCCTGTCCCTATCCTCTCGCCTCTCTCCCTTCCCTTCTCTCCCTTCCCCTCTCTCCCTTCCCCTCTCTCCTCTTTCGTGTCTCTCCGCCCACGAATATCTCACTTAAACTTTAAATGGTCCTAAGCGGCCACTGCGCGATTTGTGCGGCTGAAACTGAGCGCAATGCGACCGAGAGAGGGGGACGTCTGCCTTTTCTAGAGAGAGCGAGAGAGGTAGAAAGAGAGGGGGGACGGGGAAGAGAGAGAGAGAGAGAGGGGAGGGGACTAGACAGAGCAGGGGGGTGAGAGCAGCCCCGAGGACCAGCCTCACCCTCTCCATTCGGGTCCCCGCGGCAGGGCTTGGGGAGTGGTACTATTATCGTGTGCGGCGAAATACGCGCCGTGGAGATGTGTACGGGGGGAGCGGAAGTGAGGAAATGGCACGTAGAAATGTTGTCTTTTAATGTTTCTTTTGTATGCGCCTCATGAAATCACAATTATTTATATAATAATTATAATAATAATAATGATGATGAATAATACTAATAATAATAATAATAATAGCAATAATAACGAATAACGAAGTAGTAAAAACATAACATGATAAATACGTTATTCGCACATACGAATAATGCGCGGGGAGACTCTACCTATCACAGAAAAGGTGGGGCACCGAGCATTTGGTACAAACTAAAAACAAAATCTGTAAAACAAGCACGTGCAAGGTAACTTATGTCACATCCGTCATCAAACTCTTTATAATAAAGTTTGGGGCGTATGGCACAAAACAAAGCTTTGATTTATACACTTCACAAACAAGAAAGAGATCCGTCGGGATGAGTTCGTCCGCAGAGCGCAAAGGACAAAGCGGTCGAGGCAGGTGGCATCTCTACATATTATAGCGGACAAACTCCTTGTGCCTCTGAGGAACCATTAGAGTAGAAGCGAGGCAAGGCAGCCAATCGGGCCGGCTGGGCGGGTGGAGCCCCTGGGCCCTGGGCTGCGCTCTGACTAATTCTCGAGAACTAGAAACGCGCGTTTCCATTAGAACAGCCGCCTTGATTACAGACCGACAAACAGAGCTCTGAACAAGCGTCTCTTTTTCGTAGCAACTCCCGTCGTGCTAGCGGCCTCCGGCGGCACTGTGTCCAGGACTCGGGGGTCTGGAGCTGGCCGTCGACGTCGGGATTCCAGACGAGAGGGGGGCACTCTTGGGCGCCGGCAGGTGGCTAGTGAGGTGGTGGCCGGGGTAGTACACCTCCCGGGCCTCGCGGGCGTCCCTCAGCGAGTCCCGGAGCGGATCGCGCGGGTCGTGCAGGTCCCTGAGGTCCCTGAGGTCCCGGGGATCCCGAAGGTCCCGGGGATCCCGAAGGTCCCGGGGATCGCGGACCTCGCGCTGTTCGTCGAGGTGGCTGGACAGCGAGCTGGAGAGCGAGCTGGACAGGGACGCGAACGGCGGCGGTTTCTTCGCAAACGATGGCGGCTCGTGCGGGTTGCCTGCGTCCAGAAGAAGGTCTGCATTAGTAAGCCAGTGGCGGTCGCGCGACGGCGCTGGCTCGTACAAACACTCACCGTACGCCGTGGGCTCGTGGTACAGCACGGGCACCCTGACGAGGCGCTGCGCCGCGTGAGCCATGTTCGCCATGCTGGCCATGCTGGCCATGTTGGCGGCCTCCAGCTCGGCGGCCAGCTGCCGCTTCCACTTGTTGCGCCTGTTCTGGAACCAGATCTTGACTTGCGTCTCGGTGAGGTGCAGCGAGGCGGCCAGCCCCGCGCGCTCGGACGAGGACAGGTAGCGCTTGAGGTCGAACGTGGACTCGAGCTGGAACACCTGCGAGCGCGAGAACACGGTGCGCGTCTTCTTCTTCCTCGCCTTGCCCGCGGCCGACTGGCTGCCTGCGCCGCCCTGCGCGGACGACTGGGTGTCCTTGCCCTGGTCGTCTTTGCCCGCCTCGCCGTCGTCCTCGTCGAGAGACTCCTCGTCCTCGATGTTGATGTCGACGTCCTCGGCGGCCGAGGAGGCTGGGCTGTGCGGGGCGTTGTCGGCCGCCCCCGCCGCGGTGGGCGGCGCGCCCGCGGACTGCGGCGCCTGTCGGGCGGACAAGGGGGCGGCGGGGGCGGGCGCGGGGCCGCGGGCGTACGAGTCCAGGTAGGAGTCGTAGCCGAACAGCAGGAAGGGGTTGTAGTAGGGGATGCGCACCGGGTAGGACGGCATGGCGAGCGGCGGCGCCGTACTGTCGTCCTCGCGGAGCCGTTTGGCGCCCTGCCCCGCGCTCCGGGGCTCGTGCTCCGAGCTCGCCGCCGACCTGGCTGGGCTCAGCGGCGGGCTACGGCTCCGGGTCCGGGGGCTGGGCGGGCTCCTGGGGCTCCGGGGGCTTGGGGGGCTGCGGGGCGCGCTGCCCGGGCTGACGCACCGGGGCGACGCTCTCGGCGACGGCGACCCTTGTCGGGATCCTCCAGGGCTGTCCGGGGTGGACAGGGAGCCGCCTGAAACAACAAGAGCAAGGTGAGGTTCACGGCCAAGCACCTCGGTGACAACACCGGCTGATGAGGATCTTTGTTCTGGCGACCATGCCAACCAGGGCGTGAAACAGCCCGACCGGCGCTGCCGCCCGCCTAGATGCTATCTACTCCCGCCCGATGCACTTTTTCTCGTGGTTGTTTGCCTCAGCTACCTAGCATCTCCTTTCAAGCGCGCTGATCCTTCTCTCCACCTGATTCGCTGCTTGCTCGGCCGCTTACGTTTCACGGGCCAGCAGAGAGGAGGCCCAGGCACTGCATCTCTCCGTCCGTTGCCGTTGCCCCAGCCAGAGAGGTGTTTCATGCGTGTCTCCGGAGGATTAGCGGCTGTAAGTGCGTACACTTTAGACAAAATTTAACCTGGCATCATTATTTTTACTGGAACTATTTCAAACAATAAGTTCACTAAGTAGACCAGGGTTATCGAAGTTATCGATATCGAGGGATTGTTGGGGTCTGAGAGTGTAAGCGTTTATTGGCGTTCCATTTTTCTCCTGCTTAGTACAAAGACATTGGTCGGGTCAACTATGTAAACGTGAGTAATAATACGTTTCAGCCGTATTACTTCAACACGTCTCGGCACGCAGTGCTCCTCCTCGCCTGCACACAATGCGCTGCTCATCGCGATAACACTGCGCCACGCCACGCCACGCCACACCGCGCCACTCCCGGCCAGGCCAATGATGGAATAGACTTGTCACAACAGTCAGATTGCCCCGGATAAAACAAGCACCCGCTCGACAGTAGCGGCTGGTCGACCCGGCACGCTGGCGAGTCGTCTGCTGCCGCCCCCCCCCC